TCAGATATCATTATACTTGATCCAACTATGCCACGTCACCACTGTGCCGCGACCCCCCTGTGCTGGGTTTTTTTTTTAATTCTCATAAAATTTTCTATTTGATGATATCAATTTCAAACTTGCCAATTGAGCTAAAAGTTATGGTAAAATAATTTTTTTTTTTTATTATAAATATTTACAAAAATTAACTTTAAACGATTAAAAAAATAGGTTAAATATGTCATTTTCCTTATTTTTAACATATTAATAATCAAAATCAGTATTAATTTAAAACAATTTTTTTTTGTTATTAATTATTTTTTTTTATATGTAAAAACTATTTTTTAATAATATTAAAACTTAGAAGTGATAGAAAAATTCTAATTGCACATTTGAAAACATCGCGAAAAGTTGATTTAGAATAGTATATTTTTGTTTCTGATGAAAGTTCCTTATAGTCCAGTGTATAAAATTTATAACTTTGTTAACTGTTATAACTTTAATAAAAGTTACTAGGAGATGATTACAATTGTTTCTATTTAAGTTACGATATAAATGCAAAAAAATATTGAGCTACTCTGATAAATTTACTATAAATAGTAATTATAAAATTTCCTGACTGCATATTAATCTTAACGATATCATTGTTTTAATTCTAATAAAATTTTCTATTTAATGATGTCAATTTCATACTTGTAATTGAGCTAAAAGTTATGGTAACATATTCAATTTTTTTACAATAAACTTTCACAAAACTTTATTAAAAATTTTTCATCAACTTTAAAGAACTAAAAAAATAGGTTAAAAATGAAAATTTGGACTGATTATTATTAACATATTAAAAATCAAAATCAATAATAATTTGAAAACAAATTTTTTTTTTTTTAATTATTATTTTATAAGTACGATTTGTGATCTTTTGACGTATCATTGAAAGAAATCGGTTCGGTGAGAGCTGAGAAAAAGTGGTAACAGACACAAAAAAAAAAAAAAAAAAAAAAAANAAAAAAAAAAAACACATCTTAGTAAAACCAATACCTTCTCAGCTTCGCATCGAAGCTAAAATTGTATCGTTAAGATTGATATGCA